GTTTTATTTTTTCTTTTGGGATGTGTGCCTGTGTCTGTGCGTGCGTGTGTGTGTGTGTGTGTGTGTGTGTGTGTGTGTGTGTATTTAATGATTTGGGAAATGCAAAGTAGAGAAGAAAATATGAAGTTGATTTCAGTCTGATTAACTATTGAGCTACAGAAACATGTCTGATAACTGAATGCCATAACCTTGTGCCTTTTAGTCGTAGTTTTGCAACAAAGGAGGGGAATTTATAAAGGGCTCCACAATACGGAGCCATAAGGTTTTCCCAGGTGATTGTAGATCAGATATTCAACCCTAGAGAAGACCTGACTAGACTCACTTGTTCCACAGAGCTTGACAGAGAATACAAGATGTTACAAAAACACATTTTTGTATTAGTCATGTCTATGGCATGCTGCCATTGCCTCTGTCATATGTTTCAGTACCAATTACCACTTCCAGCAAAAATATTATATTGGTACCAAAAAAAAAATCTCTCACTGGTAAAAAAATAAATTAACATTACCAAAGCTACATTGCCATCTGACTCCTGAACCATAAAAGGTGACAAAAACTATTCACAAGAAATAAACTTTAAAGAATAATGATACTGTAAAAAGATACTTGCATATATATACTGGCAAAAGAAAATGAGTTTCGGCTGACAATGGAGGTATAAAAGTGGAGCTGCCTCCTGCGATACACAAACAGCAATCACTGTTTCAAATGTGCTGAGGGGCAGGAAGTGCAGCAGGGAGCTTACAGATACAACGTGTGAATACCCAGAAAAGATGAAAAGGGCCTTTTTCAAAACAGCCCAGGTGACAGATGATAATGGCCTAGACTAGGTTTGCGATGTGGCAGTAGATTAGGCGTATAACCAGTAGGAGAAGATGTGGGATTGGATGCAGAGAAGGAAGGAATGACTCACAGGTTTTTTATTGAGTTCTAAACAGATGGCATTGGGAATAATGGGTGAGAAACAGGTTTTAGGTCAGAGAAAAATCAATAACTTTTTAAACATCTTAATTTTAAGAGGGCTGCTAGAAATCTAATAAGAGATACTGACCACGCAGTTGAAGATTCAAAACTGAAGCTCATAGTGGATACTGAAGAAGAGTTTTAATTTTGCAAATTATATCAATGGACGAGATCCTCTAAGGAAAAGGCGAATAGAAGAAAAAAATATCTTTTAAATTTTCCTTGTAGAGAATCTGATGATATGTGGAGAACAGCAATTTTATTTCTTGTTCTCTGATGCTTATATCTTTTACTTTTTTCCAGCTTCACTGACATTCTTACGATTGCCAGAAAAATCGTGAATAAAAATGATTTTAGTAGTCACCTATGCTTGTACTTAAATGACAGCTTTTCAGTATGTGGTCATTAAATACAATTTTTTATTGGTTATTTTGAAGACAACTTGTCTTGGGTTAAGAAGTTCTTTGGTCCTAGCTTTTCAATAGTTTTTTTTTTTTTAAATTGTTAATGAATGTTGAATTCTTTCTCAAGTACTTTACTATATTCATTAAAATTATAATATGGTTATTTCTTTTAACATGATCTATTTATGGAATAATTTCAACTTGGTGATTATATATTCTTTTATAAATATATTACTCCTTTTGTTTTGCTAAAATATTTTACATAATTTTCCAACTCTGTTAACCAATTAAGTTAGTCTCTAAATGTCATCTCCAAAATTATCCTTAATGAGTTTTGTATCAAGGCTATGTCATTCCCATAAAATGAGTTGAGAAGATATCTTATATTTTCTAACTTCTGAGAAAATGTATGTAAGCTCAGAATTACATGCTTCTGAAATCTCTCTTACAAACTGTTTGTAAAGCATTATGGGGGAGCCCAGTTAGTTTTCCTCTAAACAATATAAATTCGTTATGAAGATTACAAATAGGTACTCAATATATAAATTATATCAATTGCTTAAATAGGTATCACTTACAGATGGCTTAGAAGTTTTTTAAAGTCTTCCGAGTATCCTTTTAAGTATTACAATGACATGAGACGATTATTTCTCATATCATCCACATTTTACAACTTGAAAAACTCGAGCTTACAGACTTGAAGAAGCCTGAGGTCATGCCGTTAGTACACAGGACAGCAACTACCCATCACCATGAAATGTCTCATACCAGAATGTGCCATGTCCATCATGTTATTTTGACAAATTTATTATAAAAAGGACAATTTGCTGAAAGTTAACTTTGCTTAACTTTTAAACATAAATTATAATCGTGGTTATATTTCCACAATTTAGGGTAAATTGAAGGAGCTATTTAAATAAATGGAAATACAAATGTCTCATTTCATGTCTTATGAATATGGGAATCTGCTTATTTAATATCTATGAGAGTAAAAGGACAAGAATGCAATAAATATCGTCAAGTAAATATGACTTAACATTTAAAGTAATTAATATCTTATCACCAACAATATTAGTTATCTACTACCACAGGACTAGTAACCTCCAAACTTAAGTGACTTAACCACCATTTTATTTCTCAAAATTATGTGAGTCAGCAATATTCTTTTGGTTGGCTGGTAAATAAGTTGGGAGCTGAACAGGTCAGGTGCTGCATGGATAAGCCTCACTTTCCATGTGATTTTTCATCCTTAGAGAGGCTAAAATGGGTTTCTTTACATGTAGTCTCTGGGAAATGTTCCAAAACAGCAAAAGCAGAACCAGTATGGCCTTTGAATTCTTAGCTTCTGATGTTACACAGCGTAACTTTTGTTATGTTATATTAGTCAAAGTAAATCACAAGGCAAATCCCACATTCAAAGATGGAAAAATAGATTTCTCCCCTTCATGGTAAGAAGCAGCTAAATCACATGGCAACTGAGCACAGATAGACACACAGATCATGGTTTCTTCACGGCCATTATTTTAACAATCTTTTACACAAACTAAGTGACAGCTTGATGCCCTGCCTTTTGAAAGGTAAAGTCCATAATTTTTTAACCTCATACTGAGATATAAAATATATGATGTTGGTTTGAGAGCCTCATACATCACTCCAAACCCTTTTTGTGGCATTTTAATGAAACTCGGATGCCTTCGTCTTTACAGAATATAAAAAGAGATCCCCTGAAATGTTGTAATCTCAGTCATAAAAGAATGCAGGCACTAATAAAAAATATTTCATCAGATGTCAAAGTAAGAAATATTGAGATAAATTGTTGGAATAGAATTTGTAAATAATCCATTCATTTTGATGGTATTATTAAAATAATGACAAAGAGAAGAAAATAGATTAATGCAAATAGTCTGGTTTTTTTTTAGCAGTAGACTTTTTCAGCAACTTTGATCTCTCTATGGAAACACACCAATGGCACGCTAAAGAAGGGAGAAAGCATGGAAGTTTGCTCTGGACTTTAGTTAAGATACACTCAAGATCACGAATTGTCTTTTGAAAATATGTACTGTTTTAAGGTCCTGATACAATACCCGTTTATAGAACACTTAAGATGTTTCAGACATTATTTATTAAATCCTTACTATTAACCCTAATAAAACAGAGACATGATGTGTATGGGCTTTTAATAGGCAGGAAATAAGGCTCAAAATATTAATCTGCCTACCTGTCTTAAGAGTGGCGCTCAAATTTAAAGCCATCTTTTTGATAATTCACTTTGTGCTAATGTCATTACTGCCATTCAAAAATGTTGTCATAACAAGTCATCACCACGTATATTGAAAACTTTTCAAAAATATTCCTTTTCTTAAATAACAACAAGATTAGGCAGCCTTGTTACAAAGGTCTTTTTAATAAATTTGATGAATACTAATGATATATGTAACAGGTTGTAGATTGAGTACTTTACACGTATTTTTCCATTTAATTTCACAAAGCCTTCTACAAATGAGGTACTGTTACTTTTAATTTTCAGTTTAAGAAACAGCCTTAAAGAGGCCCCAGCACATATCATGCTATATAAATCAGAATCACTATGATCAGTACTACAGAAATTCTTCCAAAAACATACTAATATGTAACCACAGTTGGAAGCCGTTACTTTAAATTGTTTACTATATACAGTTAGGAAAAAAAAATGATGACACCAATTTGGGGAAGGCTAGAGCAAACTGAATAGCAACCATTTCATAATTTTCTTATCATTATATCAAAATTTCCTAATATTTACAATTTTTCATTTTAAAATCATATACTAATAGGTAAGAATTTAAAGATATGTTAACACATTTTCAGAAGAAAATACATTTTGCTAACACATTGCTAAAATGAATTACATTTTAATGACTTCTGATGCTTTAGACCAAAAGTGCTTTAGTTAGAATACAAAGTAAAACATGGGGTCATTATGACTGGAGGAAAACATGCATATAAACTACTGCTTAAATCAAAATTAGCTTTTTCTTTTACAGAAGAATTTAAGAAAAAAAAATCAAGTATGATTTTGCTGTTCAATTTTCTAATAATTCAAAGTAAAATATCATGAGATCAATCATTTCAAAAGCAGTAACTTCAAAAATTTCACATGCATCTTTTTCTTGAATTCTTTTCAAAATCTACTCCCAAAATTAACCGTATTTAAATATATCTGAGTAAATTTCAATGTGTTAGTCTATTGCATGGTAAGCCTATGTGTGTATTAAACAATAATCTATAGCCAAGTATTACCTATTTATGTGTAAACCTATGTATAAATGAGTAGATATCACACTTGAAATTTGTGTCGATATTATGCATAAATATCCTACTACTAATATATTTAGGCTTATTAAGGTATCCAGTAAGTTAAGCTACTAAAATCACCAAGTTACATAAAAAATTAAGACCCAATTAAAAATATTATCTTGTCACATATTAAAGTAGATAAATCCTCTCAAATCAAGTAAATGATTTTTAACGATCATTTTCAGTTCTTTAGAATCTTGAATATTTTAAGTTGCCACTTACTTCAGATACATAACTCTTAAACCACTATAGGAGTTTGAGGAAATTCAATGGATCTCATTCAAGATAAAAACTTACCAGCAAATTTGATGTGAAATTTATTTTCAGGCTTTAATATCTGGACATACAAAGGGCAATTTGGAGCAAAATCTTTCACAGCCCATGCTCTCAAAATTGTTTGGTGATCCTGAAATGATCAAAATAAAAATATCTTGTCGTAAGTTATCATTTTTATAACACATAAAGTAAAAACAAGCAATCAGTCTGCTTGGTCACATCCATAGTGAACACTTAAACATAAAAATTACTGTGAGGACTTATTAAGGGCACACGTTATTTTTTTTTTTTTAATTGTACTTTAAATTCTGGGTTACATGCGCAGAACACGCAGGTTTGTTACAGAGGTATGTAGGTGCAATGGTGGTTGGCTGCACCCATCACCCCATCATCTTCATTACGGATTGTATTTCTCCTAAGGCTATCCCTTCCCTAGTCTCCCACCCCTTGACAGTCCCCAGTGTGTGATGTTCCCCTCCCTGTGTCCATGTGTTCTCACTGTTCAACACTCACTTATGAGTGAGACCATGTGGTGTTTGGTTTTCTGTTCTTGTGTTAGTTTGCTGAGAATGTTGGTTTCCAGCTGCATCCATGTCCTTGCAAAGGACATGAACTCACCCATTTTATGGCTGCATAGTATTCCATGGTGTATATGTGGGGCACTTCCTATTTCTATAATAGAAGGTAGTAACAGCTAATCCAACCATAGCTAATTACCAGCACTTAGAATATTAGCAAAGGTTAAGAGAAAAATAGCTAGACAGACTTAAAAATAATTTTCCTAGAAAATTCCTGCAGTCATGTAGCACAATTAATAGTTTGTAATAGGGATTTCCAAGGAGAAATAAAAAATGTACATATAATATCAACAAGCTTAGAAAATTACTTTTTATATAATAGTAAAGGTAAAATAATTTGACCCGTGTATGGGTGATGGGTGGGGTGTGTGTGTGTGTGTGTATGCGTGTCGTGTTGACCTGTGAGGTATGTTTGAAGACATAAAAAACTCTTGAATATAATAAAGTATATCAAAAATGTTTTTAAAAAGATACTTAGCCTAAGAAAGAAAATCAAAACCATGCTTAACATGAGCTCCTTTCCATAGTAGTCACCCCATAAATTATATGAATTGAAAAAATCAAGGAAGATTATTAGAGAAATGTGCCACAGAGTTAGCTAATACATTTTTAAAAGGAAGCACAAAGTTGCTCTAGGATAGCACTGTCCATATAACAGCCACCAGGTACATCAGGCTATTAAAATTTGAAGTAACTAAACTTAAACAAAGTTAAGAATTTAATTTCTCCATCACATTAGCCACATTTCAAGTGCTCAAAGCAGCAAATGGCTAGTGGCTGTCATATTAGACAATGGAGATAATATGAAATGTTCACCATCATAGCAAGTTATATCTGACAGCACTCTCAGTGAAAGGAAAGGAAGATCCAAAATACAGATAGACATGAGGGACTGTTTATCCAAATGCAGATAGAAGAAGTTGTTATTCATGGTTGGAAACTGCTATGGACTGAATGATTCTGTCTACCCCAAATTTATATGTTTAAATCCTGCCCGCATTGTGAAGGTACCAGGAGATGAGGCCTCTGGTAGGCCTCAGGATAAGGCTAGTCATCATGAAAGAAATTAACACCCGTATCAAAGACACCCAAGAGAGGTCTCCCTCACCTGTTCAGCCACGTACGGATGTTGCAAGAAGACAACCATCTAGGAACCAGGAACCTAGTCTTTACCAGACGCTAAATCTGCTGGCTCCTTGATCCTGGACTTTCCAGCTTCCAAAATTATGAGCAATACATTTCTGTTGTCTATAATCTACCCAGTCTATGCTATTTTGTTACAGCAACCCACCTGAAGATAGTAACTTTAAGTTACGTGAAAGTTGGTGAATGATAGCCCAGCATGGTTTACATGGACCATACGCATCTTACAGGCAAACATTCAAATATCATGAGCCTAATAATTCTAAGATTTCTCAAGTGAATACTTGTTAATCCACGTGAGATGCTTTTAAATCGGAGGTTTGAGAATTATAGATAACTTAGAGGACAATTATGTTTATTTCTCTTTCACTAGAAGTAAACAATTTTAAATGAAAAGAAAAAAAAGAAAGTAAACCATTATATATGTGAAAGCATACCAAATTATAATTTTTATTTTATTTTATTTCATTATGCTTAACGTCGTGTTGAAGATCAGGGGCTATTCTAGGGTTTTTACTCCTGCTTTGTCCCTCAATATCTAATTAGACTTGGACAAGTTAAAGTTCCTCGTCAGTAAAATGTAGATATTCTGTATCTTACAGGATTGGTGAAACAGACAACACGCATATAACTTTTAATAGTGATCGGCAGTCGGTTGTTGAAAAAAGCTGTTTTTCTTCTAATATTATCTTAGTGATAGTAGAAGTAATATCAATAAGGATAAAAGATAAAGAACAAGGATTAATTTCTTAGGAAGAGTTTAAAGTAAGACTTGTCTGCTGACACCAGTAAAAATGTAACATTGATAAAAATAGAAGAAATACAGAAGGGCAGAGGTCTATCAACATGAAAGAATAAGCTCCTAATAAATTGTACTTGTATATGACAACTGTTAAAAATCTATGAAACATCATACAAAGGCCCTAGAAAATAAACTAAAGCAGGCAGATTGCAGAGGGGAGGAAGTATCCTGCATGCTATAATTTCCCCGTTTTTGCTGCTGTGACCTGAGGGCAGCTGTGGTTACACAGCAGCACCAGCTGGCTAAGACCTCACAGCAGCCCGGCCAGAACTAGGGAATGGAGCCTGGAGCAGCCAGGGCCACTGGAGACCGGAAAAGGGAGAGGCGGTAAAGAGAAACCACAAAGACCGTGAATAAGGGTAAACATCCCTGGCTGACTTCTGAACCATGAACGCATGGGGAAGCATAAAAACAATGTGAGCTGACATTTGTGAAGCACTGCCAACCTCAGCGGTGATGAAGTTCGCTTTACTTTGAGTTGAACCAACTTAGCTTCTGCTAAAACGAGAGTGTTAACATTCTTTGGAAGAACACAGGAGTATCCAAGTCTCCACAACATAACACGATATCCAAAATACAATGCTATATTACTCAGTTTATGAATTTTAAGAAAAATGTGACCTATTTGCATGGGAAACAAACAAAATGATAATCAATAGATGGTAGCTACTAGATGATGTGAGATGTTAGAATCAGCAGAGAATGACTTAAAGCTGCTACTAGAACTATGATCATCAAGGAAATGAAAAACTTCTTGTAATAAAAAAAGAAAATTTCAACAGAGTAATAGAAAATATTTTTAACTTTAAAAACTGAAGTTCATGAAAAAACATATTTACTAGAGGGCTTTGAAGTAGACTGGGAATGAAACAAGAAAGAGTCAGTGAACTCGATCATAGATCAATAGAATTTACACAATTTGCAAAACAAAGAGAAAAGGTAAGGAAAAGGGAACAGAGTTCGGGCACTTGTGTAACAATGTAAAAAGGTCTTACATAATATAATTGAATTCCCAAAAGGAAAACAAAGGAGAAAAAAGGGCAGAAAACGATTTGAAGAAATAATGACTAGAAACTTTTTAATTTTGTAGAAGACATATATTTACATGTATATATCTTCTTTATTTACATTTATAAACAAAAAGATAACCATGCCTAGCCACATTTTATTCAAACTGTTAAAAAAAACAAAAATAAAGACATCTTGACAGCACCCAAAGAAAGAGTCACATGGCCAAGGACTCTCAGCAGAAAGTGTGAAACCAAAACAACCATGAAAAAAATTCTAAAGTTTGGAATGAAGGAAAAAAAAAAAAAAACCTATAAACCAGAATTGTGTATCTAGCAAAAACTCCTTCAGAGAGGAAGGTGAAATAAAGGACTTTTAAAATAAAGAAATCTAATGAAACGTACTGACATTGGAATCATACTACAAGAAGAGTTTAAGAAAACTATACAAGCTCAAGAAAAGTGATACCAGGGAAAAAGAACTTCAGAAATCAAACAAGCATTAAATGAAATGCTTAATGTTTGAACGATAGTTAAAAAAAAAAAACAACTATTTTAATTTCTGTAAAAGATACAATCTGAATAAAGCAAAGGTTACATTATTGTTTAGCGTGGTTTCTAATCTATGGATATATTATTATATCTAATGACTATAACATAAAGGACAGTAGGAAAGGCAGAAATGTAAGTTTCCAATTTTAACAACTGGTATAACAGTGACAAGAATTCGACTATGAGGCAGGAAGGATGCATATTATAGTCCCTAGAGCACTTAAAAAAATTCAAAAGGTGAATCTAAAAAGCCAATAGATATATTAAATTCAATGCTTTACAAAATCAAATAATAAAAAATGTGGGAAAGGAAAAACAGACAAACAAAAATCTGAGGGAACAAACAGAAAACAATTTAGCTAGAGCTATATCTAACCATATTATGACATTAAATGCTAATGGACTAAACATAGTAAAACACAAAAATGTGGATAGCAAGAAAACAAACAATTCAATTAAAACTGGGCAAAAGATTTAAACAGACATCTGACCAAAGCACATATAGATTAGAGGAATGAAAAGAAACTCAACACGTCATTAGAAAGTTGCAAAATAAAACAATAAAACACAACTAAACACTTTTCGTAATAGTCAAAATCTAAAATGCTGAAAACACCAAATACTACAGAGGATGTACATCAACAAGAAGTTGGATTCATTGCTGGGGGTACAGGGAGGATGCAAAATGGCACATCAATTTTGGAATGCAGTTGGACAATTTCTTACAAAACTAAGCATATCCTTACCAAATAATCCAGCAATTGGGCCCCTTAGTATTTACCTAAATGAACAGAAGATGTAGGTCCACCCAAAAACTTTCACACTCATGCTTAAAACAACTTAATTTATAATTGCAAACACTTGGAAATAACCAAGATGTACTTCAATAGATGAATGGATAAACCGTGCTACATCCATACAAGGAAATATTCCACAATGCAAAGAAATGAGCTATCAAACGAAGAAAAGACATGCAAAACCTCAAACGCATATTGCTAAATGAAAAAAAGACAATCTGAGAAGGCTACATACTCCATGATTCCAACTA